ATTGCATCCCAATTACATTTAACTATTTTTGGTTTTGTTTGTTTTTCCTTTCCCTTTGGTTGCCTTTTCTTTTATAATAACTTTCTTACAAGTCAACCATCCTATAGAAAGTACACCTGTAGGCCTATATTACCTTGGCATAAAATATTTGAGCCATTTTCAGACACCACCATGCGACAGTCGCCTTGCGAGCTGTTTGTGGTCAAATTTAGAACTTGACTGTGGTGATCTTCCAGGATTCTGACTTTGTCTTGACATTCCTGTACGTAAATATAAAGCGCACAACATCCAATCCTTCCTTCTGTGAGGCAAGAAATAGCTTAACATAAATAAACTGAACTTCTCAGTAATTTATAACATTGTTGTTATTCTGGCCGACTCTTTGAAAACAAACCTAAGGAAATCATGTCGCAACCACTTGAGTCAAAAAGAGCCAAAAGCGGCAGGTTTTTTGAGTACGATAAGCTCGAGAATAACACCAACGAAGGAAAAAGGAAAGGAGAAAAGGAACGAGCAAGGTTGAAGAAAGGAGGAGAACTTAGTTAGTTTTTATAGCTTCTTTAAATTTGGATTTTGAACAGAAACAAAACTGTTCGAAAAAAGAGGTTTTTTGCAGGTAACGTTTTCAGAATTCTTGCCAAGAGGATCTTCATTCCCAGTCGTCCCTGTATACGGGCTTTTCCTATAGAGGACGAAAGGGAACCGGCCTTCGACTCTCAATCATCTCCATCCCCCAACTGCCCACTGCCCCCTTAACTTCACGAATAAACATTTTCTAGTTCCCTCTTGATCATGGCGGAGGGTATACGTCGAAATACTTCTAACTAAAGCCAACTAAAGCCAATAAGTTCCTGTCGTTAGGGTAGTAATGAAACAAGTTAACATGAGAAGAGATCGCCTTGTCCTTGAATCATAATTAACGTAAACAATGTGAGGTTGTTGCCTTGCAGTAAAAGTGACAGCTGTCTATTAAACGCTAGTGTGTCATGTATTGCATTGGTCATTACCTTGTTTGCGTTCCCCGATCCCCTCATCCAATTCTTGCACTTAAAATTTCCAGTGCTTCACCCAAATCAATTTGGGTGACTAATGGTTAAAAGATCAGCAACTTGTCGACATTTTTTAATCGTTTATGACTGTAAACCCTTTCTTAGTGGTGGGGGGGGGGGTTCTCTTTTCAATACAATTGAATTAATTCCATTCAACTGATTTAAGTCTTGGTATTTTCTTTACGGGTAGGAATTGACATGGACTTATTCCCGATAATGGAACAATTCTGCTCTATACTTCATAGTGATAAACATGCGCCGAAAACGATGCGACTAGAATTCAGTTAGACTCATCGACATCGTGTGGATCATTAAGATTACTTCTTTCCACTAGGAAACATCAATAAAATTTCAAGCATGTATAATGTACGGTCGTTTAACATGATAGGACATTTATATCCTTTAGACCATCAAATACACTTATTAATAATAATTGTCAAGTGAATATTTTAGAAAAGTGTAAAACAAACCACTTCAGGTCGCGGCCAGATTCTCCACCATTGGTCTTGAAAATAACTGAGCAACTTGTAACAACAGTACTCCTAACAGAATAAATTGCAAATGTGTAATTAGGTCATGAGTTGCATTTTGACTTCAATCATTTGGCACACGTAATAGTTATTTGGCAATTGTAAAAATTTATCTGTTACTGTACAGTTTTGCTTTGTTTTATTTTGAATTTGAGGGCAATTTCCGAGCACAAGGCCCCGGGGGCTTGTATCTGGAGGGGAGATTTATCGGAGTTTGTTGTGTGTGTGTTACGAGTTTGAGGGGCTTACGTAATTTGGGGCATAAATATGCAGTTTCAGTGCCATAGAATGGTATAAAAGGCCATAAACGTTTACCTGTGCGATTATGACCAAGAAAAGTTGTTTTCCAGCTGATTAAATTTGCTATGACAGTACGTAGCTACAGTGTAGCAACCCATATTGCTATATACGGGCTCGTCTCTTAATTAAGTTTTTCGACAGACAGTATGCGATACTTTTTTGTCAGTGGAAAACGAATAAATTAGGCTGACAATTCTTAACTATTCTTCGCCAAAAGGTACTGTCTGACAGATTAATGAAAGTTCGGTAACAGCTGTTAAAAATTAAAAAAAAAACAAAGAAAGAAAGAGGAGGAAATAATTAAAGTTGTCATTGATTTAAACTAGATCTTTACCCTATTTGTGCAGAATGTTGTCCCGAAACTGTACGTTATGTCAATTATTGTGTGTCAATCATACCGCAATATACAAATAATAATATGGCTGTTATGGACCTTTGGTTGGCTACAAACTCTGTTTTGAATGGTTCAAAGATCTGCTGTGGATTCCCTATAAAATTATGTTCTAGCTTTAGATACAGACTCTAACTAAAGTAACAAGTGACAGATGGACCGGGGGTGCATGTAACAACTTAAAATCTTTAGCGACAAAACGGTTGTATGACAGTTAGTTAATCGATAATTAAATAGATCACTTGCTTCACTACCTGCGGATAGGAGAGTTTGTACTGCACAACAGGTCCGCTTGCGTTTCCACAGAAGCTTGCTAAGAAAGCAAAATTCTTTCAACAAAAAAATAGGAATGTTTGGTTACGCGACGGTTTCCCCGGCGTTTGAAAAGCAAAGCAAGCAACAGATTCTGAAGTCGTAAGACAACAGATTAAAGATATTTTCAAATTAAGCGAAGGAGTTATAAAGGACACTTACATAGCCATATAGCTTGAGATGCCCCTCACTTACAAAACTACTTGAAGCTTTTAGTGCTATCACGGACAAGAAAACAACATGTTTCCATGCAAGAAGCATGGTTTTGATTACTCCAGGATAGCTACAGGGAAAGCAGTCGAATCATGTTGCTTCTCAATTATGCACTTGAATGCTTCTTTGCTAATTTGTTGAACTTAGCTTGACTATATGCAAATTATTTAGACTGCATTACTTGCATGCCTTCCTGTTGTGCTTCTAGCCTAAGGCCAAAGTTTTTACAAATAACTTTCGTCCGTTTTTCAGTTCCTCCCTGGTTCTAAGCCATTTTTGTAAGCCCTAAGGCTTGTTTAACGTGGACAGTTTCATTTTATCATAAATGGGATAAACCAGAAAAAAAAAATATTCATCACATTCTATTTAAAATAACCCGCTTAGGAAGAGGTCTGGAGGTCTAAGATAGTTAAGATGTAAACTTGCATTGACCTTTTATTTTAAACTTCCGTTAAATGGTGACCATAAGATTTCATCATCAGCCTCAAGAGTTTCTAAATTTAATCAAACAAGACTTTTAAAAAGGCCTTGCAAACTTTTCAAAATGAGAAGCACTGAGATGCAGTGTTTGCATTTGAGCCTTTTTTAGCTGATAAATATTTATTCAGCCATTAAAAGCAAAACACTGATTCAAAAGACAGGATTTAAAAGGTACGTCCAAAAGCCCCAGTTAAGTACTGATATGTTCGAGTTTATTTGCATCATTTTTATGATATATGAAGGAACCATGTGAAGCTTCTAATTTATTTACATGTCAGCTAACCTCAGAACCTCAAAAAATCTCTTAATAATAAATATTTTATGCTCAGTTCGTAAGTAAGTATAATATGCTTTTGAATATTTAACGTGATTTACATTCTGATAATGTGTTGGTTTAAGACTGCGGATTCAACAAGCAAGAATTTCCAGGATTCTACCTTACATGGGGCCAATGTTGGGAGAATTTGGTTCGTCTGGAGTTTAACTTTCGAGAATTCTCTCAACACTTCGAGTACAGTGTTTATAATGTTACGCTATGAAAACATACAAAAAATATTTTCTCTTACGCTTTTATAACGTAACTTAGGCCCTCTCCAAAATGCTATAAACGAAGTTCAACTGGAGACCGCATCGGAACAAATTTTTATTTGCATGCAAATAACATGCATTAACATAAGAAAAGTTTTGCACTTTGTCTCTTTTTGAAAGCGAGGTCTTTGGACCTCGAAAGTCTTGAGTTTACCTCTTCTATGAAACTTCGTATCAGGAAATTTCAAGCCGTCGCCGTGCAATGGTGCCGAAAAAAGTGTACCAAAAAGTGTGCTTATTACGTGCGTTGCTGTCCTGTAGGCTTCTCCATTGTAAGTTAATTTTAGCCAAAAAAAATGGCGATTGAGTGAATTTGTGGATTTTTTCAAGTTTGGTACTCCTTGTCGGTCATTTTAGTGCCGTAATAAAAATACAAAACATTCCTCCAATTTGTGACATCATTTTCTCAACATAAATATTCAAACTGAAAGGTTAAAAAAGCTAATTACATGAAATCTTAGAAAACAATAGCATTCGAATTCTAGTTCGGAACTTAAGGTTATAAGCCTAAAAGAATAAAGTTAATATTTGAATCTGAATTTTTCACTGTTTGTTACTAAAACAAATTAAGGAACAAGACACGTTTATTGACCAAACGCGAAGTCAAGATGTCTGTATGATATTGGCCAAGTTCCCTTTCGCCAAGATAAACACGAGGTCCATTAAGACTAAAAAAGGCCGTTCTGAACGAAAAAACAGGTTCAATAGAGGATTTATATGACCCAAAAAAGTTTTCTTGAGTGATCATGAACAAAGCGAAGAATGGTGTCAGTATACCTAACGTATATGTGACACCCCAGCCAATTAATATGAAAAATGCTACGAAACCAGTTTTAAAATAAAACGTGTGTTGCTATTTACAGAGAAGCCAGTTTCTTATTACCAAATGGTTTTTATGGATATTACTTCCTCTTGCTAATTACGTACAACAATTGCAACACCAGCTATACTACACATAACTACCTATATTACAAGCAAACGAAGCCTCCTTTTCCAAGATACTGAGTACAACTCCCTTCTGCTTATCATAACAATCGCAACACCAGCTCTCTACTAGGCCTACCAGCAGATTGACTGCCGTTACAAGATAGAATATTGGAGTCTTATTTTATTTGCATGTACTTGCACTGCGGGCAGATGGAAGAACTAACCAAGAATTTTACGGAAAATGAAAAGAGGAACCTGACCAACACAAAATTGCACTGTTTTCCAGAGGCGGAATTCGCTGCTGAAGTTAACGACCTCCTCATCTTCATTGCAGTGCTTAATATTTTTCTTTCCATTACTGCATTGCTGGGGAACACTCTTATCCTCTCCGCTCTACGCAAGGAAACCTCACTTCAACCAGCGTCCAAAATCCTGTATCGTAACCTAACGATAACTGATCTCTGTGTTGGTGTTGTTGTGCAGCCCTTGGTTTCGGCTTATTCGCTTTCCGAGGTGAACGGAAAATGGATTATTTGCTATTACACAGGCCTGACAGCTTTTATTTCAGGTGTTATACTGTGCTTAGCATCTTTAGTAACAGTGACTGCAATAAGCGTGGACAGACTTCTCGCTTTGTTGTTGGGGTTCAAATATAAAGAAGCTGTTACTCTAAAGAGAGCAAATATAATAGTAGTCGCTATATGGGTCTTATCCGTTGTTGGGCCATTCTGCAACGCTTATCTTGCCATAACTGTATCTATCTGTCTATTTACGTTATTTTTTTCTTACACAAAAATTTTCCTCGCTCTGCGTTGTTATCAAATTCATGTTCAGAGTCACGTTTCTGAAGGGCAACCGAGACAAGCAATGCCACTGAATATGGTTCGATACAGAAAAGGAGTGTACAGTGCATTATGGGTACTTGTTGCATTGACTATTTGTTATCTACCTCATTATATTGTCGAAGTTTTAACAGGTCAAGCAGGGATGACCTTATCACTTTACATTGCTAGGCAATTTACAACCATTTTAGTTCTCCTAAATTCATCATTAAATCCATTGCTGTACTGCTGGAAGATCAGTGAGATGAGGCAAGCTGTGAAAGAAACGCTTAGGCAACTTTTCTGTTAATCGATTAGCTCGTAATCTGTTATTGTTTAAATTACCAATGCCGTCAATTAATTTTTTATAGCTTTCCCCTAGCCAGATAGATAGATGAACTAAGACTTTAAAATTTTGTAGAATAAGATAATTCTTCTAAGCTCAACCAGCTTTCTTCTCGTGTAGCTTTTGCTCGATGTTTGGCAAAGAAAAAAAAAACGTGAATAACGTTCTTCCTGAAGTTCAATTTCTATTCGGGAGATGTCAAGAGTAACTCTAAATAGAAGACAAACACTCGAGGAAAACATACTTCAAAGAAAGGTTAAGGAAATTTTCATGCTAATGACTGAACATTTCCTCTTACAGGTCTTACCTTGAAAAGCTAGATTAGCATGCCTCATTAGCATGCTGTATTCATTGGGACTGCGTTTCAAACCACTGACGTCCTGTCAAAATTAAATAATTACAGAAAATGAAAAGTCTTGCAAAAGAGACACAGTCAAAGCTCTCATTAGCCTCAGAAAGCGGACATTTCGCGACTTTATCAACGGTTTCCCGGCAAAATTCCGTCTGAGAAACGACTGCAGGAATTCGATATCGATGACGTGTTAGACGTGAGTAGTGCTTCTGATTGCTTAAAGCAAAATTTCATCGCGAACCTGAATCAGAAGCACTACCGAAATAAAGGCTTTGACGTATCACCAGTGTCGAATTTGTAACATTCGTAACAGGCAATAAAATGTATTTCATCAGTTTTTTCACTCAATGTTTATAAATTTTAGGAACCAGAGGCTCAAGAGGTTTACATAGCGACTTACAAATATTTAAAAAGAAGGTAGCGGAAGCACGATTCTCTTCCGTCTGTTTATTAATTCATTTTTAGTATAGAGAATCAAATTTTGCAAAATTTTACAATGTATTATATTTGATTCTGGTTAAAGCTAGTTATTATTGCGTTCGACGTTAGGAGAACACAACCTAAACTGAACGCGAGAAGCCTGGGCACAAGCATTTAGCAGAAAGAGTCTCGATTTTAGGTTGGTCAACTACCGGAAATACATCATAGCCTCCACGCACAAGGTGCGCGCGCATCTAAAAGGATCAGAATGCGCTCGAATGTTTTTCTTCCACGTGCAACTTTGTTCATTTTCTATCAGGCAATCAATCAATAAACTTTACTTATCCACGGAACTAAACTAGAGGTTCCATATTGGAAGTGAAGAGCGGCCCTATGTAGAAATATCAAGGGGTTGGAAAGGTATCAATAATCCAACCTGATTTTTGAGTATACATTTTATATGCAACCTTTCATTATACAACGTTTACTTTCAAAACATACGGATAATATATTAGTGAGCTATATGAAGGCTTGTTGTTATTGATTGAAATCTTTGGGAATTCATTGCTTGCATTATGCTCAGTGTTTGTTTTTATTTAAAACTAATTCTAAGATTAAGCACGTTCCGAATTATAGTCACAGATACAAAGCTGAAGAAAGAAAAACAAGCTTTAAAAAAATACAAAATAACTCAACTATATATTTTATACATCATAGTCTCCCTTTTGTCCCGTCACGCAATGCTAGAGACAAAAAACGGCTGGGAGGGAGACAACAATTTACTCTCTCCTTTTTTAATCTTACAACTTTGAAGATCATGTGATATCCTAAACTTAGATACAATATATTATTTACAAATACACAATAAAGACAGATTTAAAAGAAAGGTTTCAGAAAGCATCTTTGATTTAGTGAATTGTCACGGAATTGTACATATATTAATTCGTTCCTGGTGTAATCACTTTTTTACTTCATGAGATCAATGCAAATAACTATTTTACATGAACAGGAAAACCTTAATTCAGTCTGCCCACCTCGGTAAGCAAATCGCTTTTTTCATTCGGCTCTTTGGCGGGGCAAATCATGACCTTGATCGTAATTCAGTTTTTTCGCCTCGTTGCTTCGTTCACCTCTTTAGAAAAGGTTGTGAACTACAATAGGAAGGTTATCTGCCAAAAACGATTCTGTTGCCTTGATTGTTTGGGGCGCTTTGAAGCTATTTGTCTCCTCGTGACAAGATTTCATCGATTGTGTTCGTGATCTACAGCTGATAACTGGTGGGGCTCATGGAACGACAGAGCTGCCAAAATGAGAGAATCTTGTCCAACTTTTACTGGGGGAAAAAAGTATAATGATGAATTCCGGGATGTCTATTTTTTGACAATATCTGAAAAAACTTTAAATGAATTCTCGTACTCGTAGTCGTTTTAGTCCTCGAATATAAAGGTCTCTAATAACGACCACACGCAAAATTAAGTTTCGCGCGAGACGTTCCATCGCACCACCGGTGGATTATGGTAAGTCGAGCAAGCGCGTCTTAATTATAACTATATTACGTAACAATTAATGGAAAAGCAATTCAGAATAATTTTCTTCGAGGAAAATGGTGGAAAAAGAGGATAAGATATGAAGTCTTATTGCATATTTCTTATCGCGTTTAAGTTTGCATTCCTTGCGCAAGGTGAGTTTCTTCTCTGATGAACTGTTAGCTGAAGCTGAAAAGCGACAAGGTAACAAAAGCATAAGTCGGTTTCGGAAGCTAGCCTTAGTCTCGATTTCATAATTTCAAATAACGTCACCAGTCGAATATAATTTTTAGGCCTCCTTCTTTCGTATTATCTTTTGCGGCACTGCCAACACTGAAAAAAATGTTCTTGCCCTTTTCCTTAAAGGACTTTTCCCATCGCAAATGCAGTAAAACCCCGCTTTGCGTACATCCACCTCATACAGACACCTCATGATTACGGACAGTTTCACTTGTACCAGGGCAAAGAAAGCCCTTACATTTTCTCTTAATTTAACCTGCTTAGTACTGAAACCCCTTTAATACGGACACTATCTATGGCCCTCAGTGTCGTTTTTTTTTTATAAACGGGGTTTGACTGAAATTGGCAATTTGAACGCAGAAAAAGTGCCTATTCGATAAGTGATGAGTATGATTAAATTGCCCCCCTTTCCTGTCTGTAGCTTTCTCCTTTACATTTCAGAGTCCCATAGACAAGTTCAATCCGTAAGTTTGTTTTGAGTCCAATGAAGAATTGCTGTTCTGGAAACGTTTAGGTGGAAAACTGAAATCTTCTTAGTGGAAATAAAGTCTTCATCATTCGCGTATTTGCGCTTGCAAAAGGTTGGGGTAGAAAACGTAAATAGGGTTTTTGTCTCCACTGATTCTGCTAAAGCTTTTTAAACAATACGTTTTCCTCACAGAACATCTGTTTTGGGCAGTTATAGCTGCTGGTGGTTTGTTCGAAGAAAGGTTGCTGTACTTCTGGGGCGTTCAGTTGTAATAAACTAACAACAGCTTAACCCGTCCTCGGTGTGAAAAAATTTTCTCGTATATATACTATCAGGGCCGCTTGACGCTTGAGGTTGCTATGTCAAGATGACTACTTGCACTTCAACCTTTTCGATACATTTTTTTTACAATTCTCCTTTCAACGACAACGTGAATTTTCCTCGCCAAACGTTTAAGAACATTTCCACACGACACAGACGTGGAACTTCCTAATTCGACCTTGTTTTTCAGGAAGGTAAATAACGAAAAATGACGAAGAAAAAGTAAACAACGAATTGTTAACCAGCGAATACCGCCACTTCCTTTCACTCCCCACCGCGGCTAAGGAACAATGGAATTTAAGCAACTTCAACGACGACGGGAGCGATAACGTCGCTAAAAAGATTATCATTACCGTTTTTTAATGGTTTTTTTTTAAACTTTATTGTGCTTAAGTAGCCTCGCCCAATTGGTCAAATCTAGGCGAGTTTTCCTGTGGTTGAATTCTTTAAAGGACCCATAATTTTGTGTCTGCTATTTAAATCGCCTTTTCTACTATATAACGTTCATAGAGATGCAATATAAATCATATCCCGTAATTTCGGCTTACCGTAAATCCTCTATTAAACCCCCGGTGGGGGGGTATTTCAAGCCCACTTTGAGGGAAGGCTTAATAGAGCCGGGGGGGTATTTGAGATGAAGGAATATTTTGTTTAGAAAGACGAAGGTATCAGTCATAAAAAAGAACTATAGAAAACAAAGTGGAAAAGCTTAAGTACAAGAAGGTTGGAGGTCATGCAGCCGAGCATCAGAATCAAATCCAAACTTCCAGCCGGTAAATAATTCAACCCGGATCAGTCCACACGAATTCGAAGTTTTACAGTCATGATTGATTAGTGCAGTCTATCATTTATTAGTGAAGAATAACTAGGAGGGAAAGGAGGCTTATTTGAGAAGGAAGAGGGGAGCTTAAAAGAGGATTTACAGTAGTTTTATTTCGAGATAACTAGCTCTATGCTTACTTTTTTTTTATTTCTAGGTGATTCCAAGACATATGGTCTTAACAAGGATGAAGACGACTTTGGTGCATTGCCTTTAGAGTCGGGAGGGACCGAGGGCAATGTTATTAGCCGACAAGTCCAGGGAAAATCCCCTTATATCCCCCGGAGGGGCCGAGAAAAGTTTCAACCAAACACCAAAGATGGAGATATTTCAAATAAAATGAAGTTTACCTCCAAGATCATCGGTGCGGGAAAGTCTCCTTTCGCTAAAATGGTTCAGTTATTGAATTCTCTGCCAGTTGCTTCAGGTAATCCTGGACACACTAGGACCAAAATGAGCACTCGAGAAAAAAGGGCTGAGAAGGTGGACAGGCCAGATGATGAGGATTTTCAACAAGAGCCATGGGCAGATGTCTTTCTCACACCCCTTGAACGGAAGAGTGTACATTTGTTTGAAAAGGAACCCGAAATTCCTTATGGTGAGACAAAATTACTGTCAAATGTCAAAGGACTTCCAATGGGTAAACATGAATTGGACCTTCACAATTTTGGCTCTGGAGAGTCTCAGGAATACAATGAAGATGATGGACAGCAGTCTGTAGGTGACACCTCCCCGGGTGTAATTGGACTCGAGGACGAGACAAACAGCGATTCCGTGGAAAGGGTCTTTACAGGGGAAGAACAATTTGCTTCTGCACACGTGAGTAGATTTAACTCTAAGATCCTGTCAGCAACAGAAAGGTGATTAATACCGATTTCCTAAGTAGGTGGAACATGGGGTGGGTGTACGCGTGAACGAATAGATCTTCTTCTGACTATGATTGACGTTTTCACAAACTGTGTGGTCATCTTATTTTAGAGTCAAAGTGAATTGTACCACGTCAGTTGATCATAGCCCCCTTATATTCAGTCATTCACATGATAGTCATGTTAAATTTGATTAACAGAGCTATTCTTAGTGCAATCCTATTTGTTATTTCATTTTTTTCCAATAAGCAGTCTTTATCCATCGATTTACAGAAAGGGAATGATTATCAAAGACGAAAAAGAGCTGCACCAGAATACGAAAGCTCTCATCAAGCGAAAACCAAGAAAAACAGGAATAAATCCTTCACACTGCCAATTTCTGGTGGCCTCCGCTGGAAAGGTTTATCCATGGCTCATGTCCGAAGTCGTGATGGTGTGGATGTAAGGGAAAGGCGGGCTACACGCGAACAAGGAAAAGGGGATGTTGAAGGTGTGGCGAGAACTCTAACCGTTGTTTTCATCCTTGGTGGAACAATGTTTGTTCTTTTGCTGGGTATCATTCTGTTATTCGCAATTTGGTAAGTTTCTAGAAAAAATACTGAATTTTTACAGTATACCAAGAAAAAAGGCCGCAAGGGTAAATATATTGAACTCGATGGTAATTGTTGCCTCTGTTCAGTATTAATAACAATTTGATGATGAGCAAAAAAGCTCCATCAACCTCCAATATATAAAAATGGTGACGGCATCATCTATAATGCAACTGAAATCAATTTTATTAGGAATTATTTGATCGCTATTGTAGTATGTCTCCTTAAGTGTGGATTTCCATTGTCGCGTAATTTCGCTTAATTTAATTTAAGGCGCATAAATAAAACTCAAGACAAAGTATGAAAGGTATAAAAAATTGGACCTCGCTCAACTTTCACGTTTAGGCGTGACACTTTAATCTTGCATTGCCTCTATCTTATTTACGAGCGTAACATTTCAGAGTTGCGCAGTGTTAGCGCCTTCTGTAAGTGACTACGCTGACTAATTAATTAACAAAGGCTGTTATTTCGTATGCTCACGATCAGGCTGGCACATTCATGATCATCGTCGTTGAAGAGGATAATGTTTTCCCCGAACAGGCTTATGATAGCTTTGTAACCAACTGCTAACTTATTCTAAGCGGTAACTTTGGTTATTTTTCTAAAGAAAATTTTCATTTTCGTTTTTGGTCGTTGTTACTTTTTCATAAAGGTAAAATTGTCACCTTTAAATAATGAAATATTGTCTCATCTTGAGATGAGAATCTCGGGGACACACCTTGTGAGACTATTTTAGGTACCCACATGAGATTTTCGTCTTGCAGGCCACTACGAAAATATTTCCAATATTTATTAAGTCGTACGGAGAAGCAGGACGTGGAGACTGGAGGGTGCGGAAATGAATTGTCAAGTATCAGGCTATCCTTCTGAAAGGGCTTCCGACAGTGCTTCAATCCCCAAGTGGCCCAAATATGGACAGCCCGCAGAGCAGTTTTATCAAACTCCAGGTGAAGGAACAAAAGCATGTTTGCAACCCTTACATTCTAACGTACTTTCAGTGCAGATTATCACGAATTTATGTCTCGTTTAAATGGTTCTTTTGAGGCCTCCTCGCGGTAGGTTTATTAACGTAGCATGTACAATGGCCTGATTTTAACTGTTATTTTCTACCCATAGGTGATCAGTCCAGTGGAATTCCAACGGATACCCAAGCAAAGAAATACCTAGATCCGAGCCAGAGGAGGTTGCGGGAAAGCATTATTGCTGAAGATAAGATGAGAGACAGTCGTAATGCCGAAAGAAGAAAGATCATTCAAAGACAAACTTCTGAAAAGAGGGAATCTCTTGTTGCTAACCTGTTGGTTGCAAAAGCAATCATCGATGACTGCGCAAAAAACAAGGAGTTTGAGAAGAAGGCTTCGGAGCGACGTCGCAAGATTAAGGAGTCAAGCTCGTTGCCTGCGACAACGAGCGGTCAGCGTAAAAGACGAAAATCTTTTGTGGAAGAGGTGTAATCCGCCTGTTCGGCAATAACGCCAAACTGGGATGAAAATGAAAAGATGGAACAATCGAAGGACAATCGCAGAAGGATCAAGAATAGAATGGATAAATCACGAAGGTCGTCTCTTTTGGATGAAATTCAAGTCGCGAAGGATGTGATTGTTGGTTACGAGAAGGAGCATTAGCTTTGTTCTTTCATCTGTGTCTATCTGTTAAAGAGGTAATTTCAGTATCAAGGGTGCATTTACCACATTGGAGCTCGAAAGTTTTTGAAGAGCCCAAAACAGGTGCGACTGAACCAGGGTTCTCTCCTACTATTAGGATAGAATCCTGGGTGCGAGCCTGTCACTGAGCGTGGGTCCAGTTCTCCGCAAACAGATTGCCGCTACCTAGCGCGAAAAACGTTCTTTCCACGTCCAATTTAAGGTGGCGTCATAATCTTAGGGATATATTCCCACGGCAAGAAATATGACATTCACCGTCTCGGAAAACCCTCGGTTAATTTTCGAAAACGCGGCATTTTGCTAAAATTCTCTCGCGTTTTTCGGTCGTAAAATCCACTCTTTTCCCGTCGTTTTCTGGCCGGTGAATTTGAGTATTCGTTCCATTATCCGATAGTTTTCAGGCTCAGTCAACACCAGGAAAACGCTTCTTTTACTGCTGTGTTAACCGGACCGTTAACGCACGGATAATACAAGCAAAACACCCGGAAAACAGACGGTTAACACATGAGGAACGGATCGTATTCCGTTGTTCACCGCAGTTTTCCACTGACTTAACATCGCGTTTTTTGGTGTTTTCTGGTGTTTTCAAATGGCAAAACAAAGAATCCACAGGCATTTTCCGTCATTCTGCGTGAGTTTTCTCGCGTTTTCTGGGGCAGCGAACAACTAGAAAATGCCGGGAAACAGCATGTTCCCCAACGTTCACCAACGTTCACCCCTTTCGAAACTTTAATTGGGAAACTCGATTCCGAAAATATTGAATATTTTCTAATGGGAGACCTTAACTGCGACATGATTGCTACTCGATATGACAATAATACATGCAAATTAATGAATATCACTGATATTTATGGTCTACAGCAACTTATCACTGAACCAACCAGAATAACTCCGACTTCTGCAACTTTGATTGATGTAATCTATACTAATTGTCCAGATAAAGTTGTGTGTTCGGGGGTTCGTCATATCAGTATTAGCGATCATAGCATAGTTTTTGCCTATCGAAAATTATCCGTGAATGGAATGTCTGGTGGGCACAATGCTATAACCTACAGAAACTTTCGAAAATTTAATCGAATAAATTTTCGGAATGATATTGCATCTCATTGTTGGGATCACATATACAATTCAACTGATCCCAATCAAATGTGGCTACAATGGAAATGCTCGTTTCTATCTATTGTTAACAAGCATGCTCCCTTGAGGACAATGCGTGTTCGCACGCGTAGTTCCCCATGGATTACATCTGAGCTTAAGAAACGAATGCATGATCGGGATATTCTAAAGATTAAAGCAAGTAAATCGAATGATTCAAATGACTGGTCACTTTTTAAAAAACAACGCAATAAAGTAAATAGCGAAATCAGATTAGCCAAGCAAGCCTATTATCAAAATAGTTTTAACAAGCATACGGGCGATTCTAAAAAGACCTGGCAGACTATCAATGAACTTACTTCGCGAAAATCTGGGAAAAAATCGGTGACATCTCTGAAAGTAAATGGAGTATCAATAACAAATCCAACTGTGCTGTCGAACCAATTTAATAATCACTTTGCTACTATCGGTCCAGAACTTGCTAGCAATATTGATTCCTCAAATAGTGATGGTTATCAAAAGTACCTCACTGGCACAGATAAACGGTTTCAGCTCCATCCGACCAGTACAAATAAAGTTCTCTCACTTTTGAATCGTCTAAACAAGTCAAAGGCAGCTGGCCTTGACAAGATATCTGCTAGGCTCATTCGGGAATGTGCAGATCTCATTTGCATTCCTATCCGTGATATTTTTAACCAGTCAATAAGTCAAGGCATATTTCCGGATGACTGGAAATGCGCAAAGGTCACCCCACTTTTTAAACAAGGCGATCGGGACGACTTAAACAATTATCGTCCAATTTCGGTGATCTCAGTTATGGCCAAGGTCTTTGAAAGAATCGTCTATGATCAATTATATGCCTACCTAGAAGAGCACAATATAATCTGTAAATATCAATCAGGCTTTCGCGCTATTCACTCAACTGTTACGGCTCTCCTTGAGGCCACGGACACTTGGGCGTACAATATTGACCGCGGTAAAATCAACGCCGTTGTTTTCTTAGATCTCAAAAAGGCCTTCGACACAGTTGACCATGAGATCCTTTTATCAAAATTAAGCAATTACGGCATATATGGTAACGCGCACCAATGGTTTAAGTCGTATTTAGAGAATCGTACTCAAATGTGCTCCATCAACGGATCGCTCTCTCAAAGCTGTTTAATAAGTTGTGGTGTACCCCAGGGGACGATTTTAGGTCCATTATTATTTCTGTTATACATCAACGATCTTCCAAACTGTCTTTCAAACTGTGAGCCGAGGATGTACGCTGATGACACCCACCTTACGTACGCAGGTGATAATGCAGACAATATTCAGTTGCATCTAAATCAAGATTTAGAAAATGTTCACAATTGGCTGAGAGCAAACAAACTTACTCTAAATATGACTAAAACCGAATTTATGCTTATCGGATCTAGGCAGAGGCTAGGTACTCTCACAGAGTCCCCGACATTTGCAATTAATGATTTTGAAGTTAGCCAGGTCACTACTGCAAAATCACTTGGAGTGACCATCGATGACAGACTTGATTGGAGTGGCCATATCGAGAAAGTAACAAAGAAAGTCGCTTCTGGTATTGGGGCCATAAAACGAATAAGGCACCTTGTCCCTCAGGCGACCTTACAACTAATATATCAAGCTTTAATACAGCCACACTTTGATTATTGCAACATTGTTTGGGGAAACTGTGGGATAACCTTACGGAATAAGGTTCAAAAGCTACAAAACAGAGCAGCCCGTGTTTTGACTTACTCAAGCTATGACGTAGATGCTGGTCACCTTTTCAAACTTCTAGGGTGGAAAAACCTAGCTTGCCAGCAACAATTTCAAAGAGCTACGATGGTTTACAGGTCTCTGCACGGGTTGGCTCCAAACTATCTTAGTTCTAAATTTGAAAGGCGAGAAGTCGCATATAACCTAAGGGACTCTGAAAATAAACTCAATATTCCATTACCGCGCACAAACTATTACAAAAACAGCTTCAGCTATAGTGGCGCCATTCTCTGGAACAGTCTTCCTTGTAACTTAAGGGAAGCAGAGTCCCTTGGGCAATTTAAACGATTACTCAAAGAACTGTAAGGCACGGCATTCGTGGAAAGCAGCTTTTTTATTTAAATATTTTTATTATATTAGTATTAGGCATTTTTAAAGCTGACGAATTTTGTACCGTGAATAAATAAAGATTATCTATCTATCTATCTATCTATCTATCTATCTATCTATCGGTTAATGAGATGTTTTCCATCGTTTCAAAACTTTCTTCTCCAGGAAAACGCGCCGTTTTCGGTATCGAATGCGCTTATTTTCGCGCATCTTCTACGTTTCCAGTGTGATCTTATGCTGGAATGTAACTTAGTCCTTTATTCACTGGTGTTTTCGTTCAAAATTTAACATTCGTTGTTGAAGTTTTGTTTTTCCCGGCACCCGCCATAGGTGCTTTAAACGACAAATAAATACTTCGATTCTGTCTGTCCCCGATATCCCTCAATGGAAACAAGTAATGAAAAGCTCTCAATGTACTTCTGAACTCTTTTATTATCAGCAACTCAACTCATCGTCTGCAGTACAGAATGCCTCTAATTGATTATGACCACTGCACAGTAAACTAAAACTACTATTTATAAAAATGCATTCAATCATAGATAAGACATTCACAAAATTCTGTTATCAAATGAATATGGTCGGTACAATTCAGAACACTCTTGACAATCTATCTACTGATGACCAACTGATCCAAATAAGAACAGTCGGGAGATATCGATGCTAACTTATGAAACGAGTAAGGCATGTACAGATTAATTTCAGTCAACATTCCACTTGCATACAAATTGTTTTCTGTAGTAAAGTGTATATTTATACTCAAAATTCTATTCAACACGAGCACACATTGACTTTAAAACAATACTGTTTCCAAGGTCAAAATGAAGTTGATCAACTCCTTAGTTTAATAAGTCCATGTGTGCTCGTACTGAGTGGAATTTTGAGTGTATTTCCTTTAAGGATGAGTACTCTCTCGGTTTGCTGGTGAAAATCACCTGGAATATAGTTAATTGGTAATATCCAACTAGTGGTCTATTATCAATGTCACATTCTGATTGGCTGAGCTACTAC